CCAACATCATTGGCATTGGCCGTGTTCATACTTGACAGAAATCACAGACTGGTTTGGGTTGGAAGGGACCTTAAAGCTCATCCAGTCCCAACCCCCCTGCCAGCAGCAGGGACACCTTCCACTAGACCAGGTTGCTCAAAGCCTCATCCAGCCTGGCCTTCAACACTTCCAGGGAGGATCAACCACAACTTCTCTGGCCAACCCGGGCCAGTGTCTGACCACCCTCACAGTGAAGAACTTCTTCCTAATATCTCACCTAAACCTGCCCTCTTCCACTTTCAAGCCATCACCCCTTGTTCTCTCACTCCCTGCTGTTGGCCAAAGTCCCTCCCCAGCCTTTCTGGAGCCCCTTCAGGTACTGGGAGGCCCCTGTAAGATCTCCCCGGAGCCTTCTCTTCTCCAGGCTGAACAGCCCCAACTCTCTCAGCCTGTCCTCACAGCAGAGCTGCTCCAGCCCTCGCATCATCCTGGTGGCCTCCTCTGGACTTGTTCCAGCTGCTCCAGGTCTCTCTTGTGTTGGGGGCTCCAGAACTGGACACAGTACTCCAGGTGGGATAAATATGTGTCTAGATTCATGGGAATGTGCAATTCAGCGTAGACAAAATGTACTTTTAGGCATATGTAAAGTCAAATAATTCATCAAGTTAAGTATGAACTTTATTTACCCAGCAGACTGGCATGGTTTCATTATATAAATATATATATCGAGGCACTTCAAATGTGAGGATTTGACACAAACCTGTTTGACAAGGAGCACGGACCCATTCAGAGGGATCAGAGACATTCACGAGAACCCGGTGGTTCGGCGGAGCAGTGGTACATCCCAGTTGGTGTTTGATTGACCTAACGAACCAGAACTAAACCAACCTTGAGCACTTTTGCAGTTACAGAAGAAATCTGCGTGCTGAGTTTGATGTCCAACCGGAATCACGACGGTATTACGAGCAAACCATACGTTCAACAAGAATGTTGTTTTAATGATCGCTCCCCGAATACCCAAAGGCACCAGTCGACACCGTGGACTAATGACCTACAAATCTGTCTGATTAATACACATTTTTCAGCATTACAATATTTTTCGACAGCTTTAGATGGCACGTTAAGTGAAATCCTTCTTCTTTCATCGGCAACAGGTTTGTCCTGTTTAGTTTAATAGAAAAAGGTATCAAACAAAAACTGAGCCGTGAGGATCGCGCTGACCGGCCAAGCTCTCTCTGCTCTCCTTTCTCCAGATATTCCTACAAATAGTATTGGAGATGCACATGTGTGACTCTGAATTCATGTTGCTGTAACTCCTCTAGCATCAGTCAAATCACACAGCTATAAAATTGAAGTCAGGCGGTGGTAAATCAGCCCCATCACTCCACAGATCTGCAGGCTCAGCCTAACGCCACAGACGATACAACATCTTGACCGAGGACAATTTTACGTTGCAAAAAAAACCCCAACCTTTGTCACGTGTCAAGTATAAAGCTCACAAATTACATTTTAAAGGAACTACCATAAAATATATGCTTCAAATAGACCTTTTTACAACATAACACAAAATTCAAATGACATTTTTTTAGGAAAGCACTTGAAACTTTTAACACTTAGGTCCTGACAACATTAGATTACTTGAAGCTGTAAACCTCAGGAAGTTTTATGTGATGAAATAAAATCAGCATTACAATTTCCAGGTATTATAATTATTGAACAGATTGAAACAAGGAGATAGAATTATAATGTAAACATGAAGCTGAGGAGACTGGTACTGAGAAAACTCTCTCAATTCATTGTCAATTTACATCTGCACGTGGTAAAATTGGTGACAACCGGAGAACAGGTGACGATATTTTCATCTCACATATTGACATCAGGGTCTGCAAGCAGCAGTCCATACAATATCATCCCCTTTCTAGTATCAGTTTAAAGAATCACCACTACTTTAAAAAAACCCCTCTCCAGGTCAAACGCTGCTGCCAGGTATCAATACAACATCTGGAAGGAAATATTTCAACCCATCAGATTTTGTTAATTGCCTGGGTACGTGTAGACACGTGAGATTTTATATATAAACCTCACTTAACCTTCAAGATTGAACTACCTCAAAGTAAGAAATACAAGACCTTTAGCAAGAAATTTCAAGGGTTTATTTATACCTGAGACATTTTTGCATATTGATGTGTTTGTACCTTTACCTGCAGGTACTCACCTCAGTCCTTTCCTGTTTCCCAGGGTCTCACACAAAGCCTGTTAGAGTTAGGTGGATTCTGCCCACTAACTCCACGGACTTTGGCTGAGTCCTTCCTTATCTAACCTGGATGTATAAACAGAGATGTAATGGAATTAAACATATATCTATTTAAATAAACAGTTGCTGTACAAGCAGACAGGTTGATTTCTACAAATCCAGAGCTAGTTCCTGAAACTTTTCACAATGTCTAATTCAAAAAAGAATTATAATCCTTTACACAGGGTGATACACGCTTCTACTTGTTGGATAAAAACCAACTTATTGAAATATTCCTCCAGGTAACGGATCATTGGCTATACATGAAATTTTGAAATGCTCCTTCTTGGCTGTTTCCTGGTTCTTGAGAAGATCAACCCATTTCTTCCCCTAGCAAACAAGGAAACCAGGAGTGGAGGAGTAATAAATTGATGTGGCTACACAACATGAAGGTCACAGATAGACTGAGACTTTCAAACAAATTTAGGGAGTTTAGGAGCCCAGTTCTGCCTGAAACTCAGGGCATTTGGATGTCTGATTCCTGCAGATTCACCACAAAGTCCCAGCTGTGCCCAGTCCAGCTTTTGGTTCTTCAGCCCTATGGATCACACGTGCTGTGGTGAAGCACAAGCATTAGCCAGGACATAACCTACGTAAGGCTCTTACAGAATTTCACAGTGCTACTTCATTTGGCAAATACCAAACTAAATTTAAAAGTTCCCTAAAGCTCATTTTAAAAAATAAATAAATTAAAAAACTCCACCATGTTTCACTCCATTTTGCTTCTGGCAAGGGGAATTCCCTAGAAGTGCTTCCATGCAAATATAACGTTATCATATTTGATAACATAGCAATTAAAATCGCTGATTTTATTCAATAGAATTCAACCAATGGCAAGATACTAGTGGAAGTGAAATAAAGTGCGTTTTTCAGACACAGAACTGGACAAAATTGAAAACTCAGCAAACATAATAGTACTGTATCCATGACAGACATCACAGAATTAACCAAACACACTCGTTTACCCTCCTTATGTGGCAGACACATCATTTTTTGCTCTATATTTTTACAGAAAAGAGTTGATTTCAGTGACAGTGGTCAGCAAAGTTGTCTTTAAACAGCTCTTTGTCCTACTGCACGGGCATATGACGGGGAGAAGGAAAGCTACATTGTGCAGGCAGGTAGGACATACAGACCTTAGAAATGTTTGATTTTAAAATAGTGGAACGTAGCATATTTCTGTGTAAAATAAACCAAACGCTCTTTCCCAAGTAGTAGAAATTTCTAAGACCTGACACCTGTGGTAAATAGATGAACTGTGGTCAGTGTTTTCACGGCTGACAAGGAGGACACGTGGTGATGGACCGGCAATGAACTCCTAATACCACGCAGTGATGCGTTAAGCATCAGATGTAAGAAACTCTACCACTTGCATTACCAGTTGGATGCTCTAAATCTCCTTTTCATTGCTCCTCCTGCTTGTACCATCCTCAGCATCTAAACTGGAGGAGTTTTGGTGAGAACACCTTCAAATCCATCTGTCCCAAACCTGCTCGTACTGAAGCAAACGGTGCACAGCTCTCTGACCTTGGGTGCTACAAACACTTTGCGACCCCTCGCTGGAGTAGTCAGGGCAGATGTTTCCCTCTCTGTAATTCAGGAGCTCTCTGGCACGGTTGCCATCAGCATCACAACATCCATGGAGCAACTGGCATGGGGAGGCACTTATGTGACATGTTTAAAACTTCTCTTTGGTAAACACTCACACACCCCAAACCTTGTAACTAATGTTTTGCTTCCTGATAGTAAGAGAAATCTTCATTTGCTACTAAGTGTATGTGCTCAGGTATCTCAACATATACAGCACATTGCTACTATAAAAGACCTTTTTTTTTTTCAAATGCCACTGCCAAGGTTGTGTTTTAATTCACCTAAAAACAACACAGTCCTGGGCTTTTTGGGTTTGTTCCTGACTTTGTTTATTATGCATTGAAGCATCTCTGATCAATAACAAATTAGCAATAGAAAGCAAGCCCTATGTGCTCAATTTTCACCTTCTTCTCATTCTGTTACCTCGCTTTTCAAGACCGGTTTAATCAGAATAGTTGTGCCTCTTACAACCTGCATTATCTGTGAGGCAGATCCTGGGGTTAAGCAGCCAAATCTCTCACTCAGATCACTGGAAATTTTGGATACACAGAAATGCTGAGTCTGTTCTTGGTAGGGATGATTCCTGCTCACCATTACTAAACACCACTCTAGTGAGGAGAGGGACCTCACGTCTCCAATGGGAGCTGAACACTGATCAAACCAGAACCTGTAAAGCAGAACTCAAACCACCAAGAGACAGCCCACCAATGTGTATTTTCAAAAGGTGCTGCAAATAAATGTTGTCAGAACTGCATGGATATAACTGATGGATGATCTGCTTTAATGTACCTACTACACTGTCACTTCTAAAACCAGGCATTTCTACTGAGAGGTATTTCATTGGCTTAATTTTTCATTTCTACTATTTAAATTTTGCTTAAGAATTTTTTAGAGCCCAGAACTTAGTGCATTTCGTTTTATAAAATTACAATAATTTATCTTTTTCTCTTTTCATTGAAAAAAAAAAAAATATATAACCCAAACACATGTAAGGATATAAATACATCATAAATAATGACAACCATTTCACTTATTTTACGATCTGTTTAACAACGATTTAGACGTGGATCAACCAAATAACTTTGGCAACTTGCACAAAAAAATATGTCCTTAAATCAAGAGGGATGATAAGACTTGCTTTAATGAGGCTTTTATTACGGGGAGAACTGGAAAGAGAGAGGAGTGTAAGTGCTGAGGAGGTTCTCGTGTTCCTAAACCATGCTGCTTTGCATTTGTATGTGGAATGGGTATGGCTGGTAGATGATAGGTGGCTGTCCGTGAGCAATGTAGTAACTGCTGAAGTTTCTGTCACTGATATATGGAGCAGGCTGATAATAGCACGTCACATTGGCTGCGTTTGGGATGATATTTTGTTCTCCGAGCACTTTTAAAGCCAGAATTGTGATCATATTGAGAGTTTGTCTTCGTTCGTGTCCCATGAGGCAGACTGTGCTCTCGTTTACAACTCCACGCAGAGTCATCAAGTAGTCATACTTGCTTTTCTCTTCCCCAATGAAGTGGTTGCGCAGATACGACTCAATTTTCCTTTGCTGCTCAGCAACATCTGGAAAATCAATGAAGAATCTGGAGCACATGTAACGTTCCAGAGATTTAATTTCAGCCTCATCCGCTGGTTTAAAGTCACGAACCAGGAGATTGCTGTACTTCAGGAGGCCACCTCCCCTGATTTCCTCTGGGTTCCTCGTGGAAATCAGTTTGTATTTCAAGTGGTCCATTGCTTCGTTGAAGTCTCCGTACATGCTCTCGGCGATGACAGTGGGGTGAGAGTCTTCTGTCAGTTTGCAGTCTGTTGCTCTGTAAACGTTTAAGATGGAGTCCAGGACGATTTGGAAGGAGTCCACGCTGAACTCAAACTGCCGTCTGAGCGAGTTGACAAACTTTAACTCTACGTTCTTGCCGCTGTTGTTTGACAGCGAGATGAGACTCCAGCGATCGTGGTCGGTAGAGACTTTGACCATCTTCTGCACATAGGCATCTTTCATGGTCTGAGCAGTGATTTTTTCCTTATTAACACATTTTGGCAAGAAGTCTAATAGGCAATTAAGAACGGCTTCCTTAACAACCTGGAACTCGAGCTCGCTTGGAAGTTCCACCCCAAAAATGATGTCTAGGTCCTTGTAACTGGTTCCGTTCTGCTTTACCAGGATGTGACTGGCTGTCGAACCGTTCAGGCGGATATCTCTAACGTTGATTTGCTTTTCAATGAGTTGTTCCTTTACCATGTGAATGATATCCTTTGGCTTTACATCCAGTGTTGGAAAATTTCCTCTCCCATGAATAGGTATGACCTCAGCTAAAACTTGATCCAGGATTTTAATCTGATCCCAGGTGAGACTACTAAATCTGTGGTCTAAATCCTCGGTCATTGTGATGTCAGTTAGTTAACTAGGGAGAAACAGAAATTAAGAGGCAAAAGTTAGAACTTGCTCAAACACAGGAGAGTCTGACATCTCACTAGGTTATAACAAACATGTACCTTCCTTCCTGGGTGCAGTGACAAAGCAGTTCCTTTTACAGAGGCACAATCCCAGTTAACAGTCTGAGTCAACCCCTGCACTTGTCACAGGCTTTTAATTGAATTCTAATGTACTCAGGTTTTAATCCTGCTGAGAAACCACTGTGTTATTATATAATCCATGACTCAAAGTAAATGCAGTAAACCATATAGACTTCATTTCAAACTACTCAAAGATTCATAACATGAAATACTTGGTGGTTATAAGGAAACTCCAAATAAATTTCGCCGTGAAGAGCTAAAATGAACCAAATGAACAAATTTGTTCTTTCTGTCCTGTCTAGAAATCTCTGTCTTCAGTGACTTGAATACTTAAAACTACCAAACCACCAGGAAGATATTCTAAAAAGCAGGAAAAAAAAAACATGCTCATTGTTCATCTAGCCATGTGCCTTGGATGGACTTTGGTCTCTATGGATCATCTATACGCACGCATCCTTCAATACGACTGGTTATGGTGTAAGGATGGGTGTTATACCATGACACAGAAAATCTATGAAACCCCATGCAGGTAGATGGCTGTTTCTCAGAAGGCAACACTAGGACCTGCTGCCCAGACACAGCTGTGTCACCCAGCCAGGCTGATACAAAGCTGGAGTTTGGAAGGATGGAAGAAAAGTGACTGGAGATCACAGAGTGGAGCATCTCCCTGCTGAGGAAAGGCTGAGGGAGCTGGGGCTCTTTAGCTTGGAGCAGAGGAGACTGAGGGGTGACCTCATTAATGTTTATAAATATGTAAAGGGGGAATGGCATGAGGATGGAGCCAGGCTCTTCTCAGTGATGCCCAATGGTAGGACAAGGGGCAGTGGGTGTGAGCTGGAACACAGGAGGTTCTGCTTCAACTTGAGAAGAAACTTCTTTCCAGTGAGGGTGCCAGAGCCCTGGGACAGGCTGCCCAGGGAGGGTGTGGAGTCTCCTTCTCTGGAGACATTCAAGACCCGCCTGGACACCTTCCTGTGTGATCTCATTTAGGTTCCTGCTCTGGCAGGGGGGTTGGACTGGATGATCTTTTGAGGTCCCTTCCAATCCCTCACATTTTGTGATTCTGTGATTCTGTGAGATGCAAAACCCAGGTGGTGTTCAGGTGTGATCCGAAGCGGCTCGGTGAGTCACCAGCCATGTGAAAGAAGTGACGCTCGGGTATCTGCCAACACTGCCAGTGTGCTGCTGAAACGTCCAGAAATGTTTCTGCAGACAGATGGCTAAAACATATTTTTTTCAGCTGAAGCTCGAGAATAAAAATAAAGTAAAGCCATACTGAGTAATAACACCAGCAAAAAGTCCACACTGTTGTTTCTCAATCAGTAGTGATGACATATGGATGTTGGCACATATTTCCCTTCCTTTGCCTTCAGATTCCACATTCTGTATTTTCATAATTTCAAGTAACTTGTGAACCAACAAATATCTTGGGAGTATTACAGAGCTGATTTTCACATATTTCTACTACAGTTCCAGCTCTCAAGCAAGCCAATCAAAAGCACATGTAAATTGAAGCACCTTTCTGGCCTATTTACAATGAATGGAACTAATCCCATGTCGGAAGTGAAACGCACACTTTAAAAGTTGGCTAAATCAGGATCCAAATTGGGAGATTATTTGTGACTGAATTGATGCTGTGAAGGTCTTGGATTCAATCCTATCGTTCTGGCATGACCATGTTCTTCCTGGCATTGTTTACCTAGGATGTAACTCCAAATCCATGTAAATAGATACATAACATGTAAATAGGGATATATTTATATACTCACATTCCTGGACAAGGCATTGAGAAGACAGGACATTTGAATTGAAAGGGAGAGAAATTGCCAGCCGTGGTAGTGCCCACTTTACATGCCTAGGACTTCACCATTAGCTAGTGATTATTATGATCCATGCTTATTCTTTTACCACCTCAAACTATGATTATGAAAAACTTCCATCCATCCTTCATAGCCCTTATGACACCCCAGTACATTTTTATGATCAAAAAAATAGCTGTTACTGAAAGGTGCTGTGAAATCTGGAAGTAGCACAACACTGGGTGGAGGGAGAAGGTTGGGAGGAGAGGTTCTTGGATAAAATTTTTTGCTGCCACGTTTGTCTTCTGTGTTATTAATACATCAAATTATAGTGGAACAGATCTAACTATCTACTAGCAAACTTACAGTTGTCAGAATTGTTGTAAAACTAGTAGTTTTTGTTATGTGATTTGACTGATATTGCAAAACTTTGAGAGAGCTTTTCAAGGTTAAAGCTGTGATGTAAAAGAAAGGGTTTAGAGAAAGGAATGACAAAAAATAATCCCTTATTTTAGCAGGGTCCCTGTTCAAACATTTTTTGAAATTCAGAAGATGCAAGTGCCCCAGAATAAACTGGGAAATCCTTCCTTTTCAGTTATTTTTAGTTTTAGTTTTTAGTTATTTTCGATTTTATTGCAATATACTGAGATTTAAAAATGACAGGAAAAGGTAATGTCATGAAATATTTCTTTTGTGTTGAAGAGTCGTACCTCAAAATGTCCTTTCTCTAAAGTGGTTCAGTGATGCTTTGTGAGTTCAGAACCTCAACATTAATGTCTGAGAAATGTCTTACGACAAATACTAAGAATTCTGTGCTGAAATAATGCCTTTAACTTTGACAAGTAAGGAAAATGCCCTAGGAAAAACAGGAATTAAGTTGTCAAGAATATCATTAATTTACAGATAGACCTAAATAAACTTTTAAAATTATTATTATTTACTAATTTGCTTCCAGATTGTAACTCAGGACACATCCCTGCACTTTCCTGGAATGATTTTCTCTTGTTCTTTTCCTTAACCTTGTCTGGTAACAGGAACAATTTCAAGCAATATTATAATCATTAGGAGCCTTATTTCTTAAAGCAATGGCAAATTTATTTACTGAGGTGCTTGGGCTAACATCAAGAGTTATTATTAATGCAAGTAAGCCTCAGTTACAATAAATCATTAGCAGTATTGAGGCTATAATTAGTGAAAGCCTTGCAAAAGACAAGAGATGAAGGGATGGAAGGGGAACCATAGAGGTGACGCAGACTGAGAGCTCTTACTCACCTGCACCCTCAGCCTCAGCCTTCGCCAGGTCTGCCCTGCTGCACCCTGTCAAAGAATTCAGTTTCTGTAACTTAAAATTTAAAATATTACTATAAACTGCAATGGACCCTCAATCCTGCCTGATTTAAGTATTCTGCCAGATAAACCGATGAGGAAAAGTAGTTTTCAGGGTGTTTTCTTCTACATACACTGGCACAGAATAAAATGGATCAGACCTAGTCAAGTTTTGTGACATATCCTTATTACAAGGTTAGAAAAATATTTCCCTGATTCAAGTTCCAGCTTGTCCTTGAGTGTTCACCTTCAGCTGATGAAGTGGTTGCAATGTGGAAAAATGTTCAGTTACTGTGCGTTCATTAAACATAGTTTTGATAATTTTCATTATTGATCTTTATATTGAAATTAGAGGCACTAATTTTCTCCAGCAGGGTTTGGAGCAAACAACTATGAGTTTGGTTTTACGACGATGCTAAAAGATTTAGCTAACCACCTCTTAGCTTCATCACAAGTAAAAATAAATCTGGCTTTACATCTGGATGAAACAAACCTGCCACGCTGCTGATAGCTTTCATGTTCCACACAACTCTCACAGAAACAGATCCTTACAGTCTAGGGGACAGTCTCCCCAAATTTAGCTCATATTTTATCGATAAACTGTTTAAGATTCTCTTTTTATAGACTCTATAATGTTCCTTCAGTGTATTTTCAAAGGGTGCTGGCGTTCTCAAGCAGAATACATCTGAAATAGTTCTGGTGCAGCTGTGTCAGCTCCACCCTCTTGTCTTTGCTTTTATCTGCTCCCCTATTTGTCTGTTGTACAACAATTATATAGAATACTTTACTCCTCTGATTGTCTTTACTTTGTTTGCACTTGGAATGGGTTGCAAAGGGACCTTTTACAGAGCAAGCAAAATGTCTTGTCAGCTGCTGTAGTAGCCTTGCTTTTGCTTTGAGCAGAGATACCCAAAGTCACTATTGCACCTCTCCCCTTAGATCTCTGTCTCGGTTTTGCTTACACACATTATACACATTACTAATGATTTCCATGATCTCTTGCTAAAGCTTTATTTTCATTCAAAGATGGATTTCTCTATTAAGCTGGACATTTTGAAGTATTTTGTACACTCACTGGCTTAAAGACTGCAGCTGGCATTAGCTCTGGAGGTAAAAATGTCAAATGTGGAAGGAGTCTCGGTCATAATTTAGAAGCGTATGAGACAAGTGGAAGCAGTAAAGCATCTGGGGCCTCCTAAATGGGGACATATTTAAAGCAGTTTGACAGTGTTTTTCATGAGTTTTTCCTTCCATTAATGTTAATGCATGCAGTGAAGATACAGTTTATTTATCCTGTTATCATGAGATAACGCATGAGTTGCAGAAGTTTTCAGTACAGTTACCATCTAGTTACCCTGAAATAAAAAATAATAACTCAAGACCATATGCTCTTCTGTGAGATAAGGTTGCACGGCGTGCAAAATACACTTCAGCAGAAAGCACTTTGCCTGGACTATGCCACAGAATATCACCTTCAAGGGCAGAACAAGTAAGCAGAAAAGAAGAGTTTATCAATAAAAAGGTGTCCTACCTTTTCTCCAACCCACCCCAAGGAACAGGGAAAAGCAAGAGAGTCATGTACCAGCTTGTATCACTCCTTCTCCCAAATGAAAAGGATTTGCAGAGCAGTACAAGCCAAGGACAGCCATATCCTCCTGTAGCACAAAGCTGGGAAAAGGAACTGAGCAGCCTGCACCTCTACTGGAACGTTACAGGATATTGGCTTGATGAGCTGGGTGTTCTCAGGAGGGAGAAGATAACTAAGGACTTTAATTTGGGCGACCAGTATGAATATGTAATCCATGTTATGTCATCCTGGAGATTTGGGGTTTTTTTGGTTGTTGAATTTTTCCATCATGACTCAGGGTACACTCGTTCTCAGCTGCATGTGGATCCCCTCACAGGGTAACATTTTTCAAGGCCAGATATATTATGCTTTTGTATCAGCTCCCACAACACACGAGGTTCCTTCTTACACGGCCTCCACGTTCAAACAAACCAAGCCCTTGTACATAGCATGATATGAGGCGCTGAGGCACAGTCACTCTTCTCATTTGCTCTAAAATACTTTATTAACTGTAAAAAAAATTAGGTGTGATATGCAATATTGGGTCTATTTGGGGCTGTGGTCATCACTGAGAAAGTTATTGCTTTAGGTAAAGATTATTTGTACTAATGAATGCTATGGATTAACTTCTGAATAATATTTCCAGATAGAACATAAAATCCCACAGACTTACCGTGGCAGGACGATTGGCAAGCATGTATTTCAGCCCAGTTAATAGGATGACTCACTGGATCCTTTGGTAAAAATATGAATTGTCATCTTGTCACTGACAAAAAACCATGAACCTCCCAGGGAAAACTGCAGGAGGGAAAAAAAAAAATAAAATAAAAAATCAACAAACAATAACATTCATTTTGAGATAAATGTTAACTACCAGTCACCTGCTGTACATAATAAATCATGCATTACAACTTGGCAGCCCTGCAGAAAGAACAATAGCCTTTGAAGTCTGAAATGATAAGGTAAAAGCAGTGGAAAGGCACAGAAGTGCTCATAAAAACTACCTGGGTTGAGGGTCATGCTTAATCCTCTGCAAGGATGTTAACTAACTTGTTATTTCCTCCATGGGATTTTGCATAAGAACTAAATATTAGTAATAGACATGCAAATTAGTAGAGATGTAGTGAAAATGTAAAAAAAAATAATATAATTAATAACTCAGTAAAATTAAATATTCTGAATTGCATAGTGGCTTCATAGTCTCTCTAAAAATGCGTGCAGATGACAAGACTGTCTTGTTTCCAGGTTGTTGGTTCATTTACAGTAAGCCCAGGATCCAGCCTCTTGCTGGAATTTCCAGGCACTGGATGGCCCTTTGGCTAGCCAGGAATTGCATCTATTTTTGTAAATATTTGTATGCTCTCATAAAGGCATTTTTAAATATTTGTTTCTCATTTCCAAGATCTGCTGACAGCTAGGGATCCTTTTTTAGGTTTTCCTTCAAAGGCCTCCAGTCCAGCACGCCATCCTACAAAGTTCACAACATCTACACAAGGTTCCTTAACTATCCCCAGTAGGGTCTTGTCCACTGGATGATTTGATATATATATGGATTAATTCCTTGTTGCCGAGTTGTGTTCCACAATCTCAACTTTTATGCTGCGAGTATATATGCTTCTGAGTAAAGATAACTTTGCAAGTATGACTGGAGTGTAAATATATGCATCATCTGCAGGAAGAGCTGAAATGATAGCCCAAGGAGCTATGGACTGTAGTATTCATTTTATTAAGGATATTATAGATTTTTCCTCCACGCCAGAGCAGTCAGATTTTTACCGCTGAATATGCCAGTTTACTGCTGCCAGAAGCCCAGTACATGGTTTCCTCACTCTCTGCCCTGCTGTGCCAGGACCTGTCTGCAGCTTTCATTTGCTTTCCAACTCATAATGGGCTACTAATTAAATCGTGTTCCCTGACTTGCTCCCCAAATCCGTGCAGTGATGGCTCATGTTTGCAGCTGGGAATAAAGGGTTAAATCTGGCAAGGGCTGAGCTCTTCTTAGGCTAAAAATGAGAAGGCAGTTATGTCTTCAATGGCAAGGAAAAGAGGTTCTGGATTGCTTAGATAAAAGAGTCTCAGCATGTGAGTCTGGCCTCCTGGAGGAAAAGTCAGACAAGTAGATAATCAGTTACTTTAAAAAAATAAAATAAAATAAAAAAAATCATTTAGTCTTTTTAACAATGAACTCTTGTTATTTCTTTCAGTGCGAAGGTGGAAGGTTTCATGGATATATCATCTCCATTAATGGAGATATCATCATGATAGAATAGATTAACACTAGAGTAGAATAAATGGCTTCCCCTGGTGATATTTAGGGGAAGGAGAGAGAGACCTTTATATATATATTTTTTGTAGAGGAATACCCATCATTATCTAATATGTTCACAGAAGCAGTAGCTGAGATTGATGAAGTGCTTTGGCTGTTGGGACATTATTCTCAGTGGCTGCCTTTTATTGGCTCCATCCTTACAGGAGAACGTGCATCATTTCATCATTCTGTACTCGTGGTTTCCAAGATTTTTCTAACCAAAGTAAAAACAAAAGTAAAAACAACTATGTTGACAATTAACTTTTGTCTCAAAGATAATATTTTCCTGTTCTTTTTTTTTCAAAGTGTGAATTGTGATGATATGCACCAGCAAACTCATCTCAAAGTCTTTTACCCTTGTGTCTCTGTGCATAATGAGCAAAGGTCTCCAATGAGAACCAGCAGGTCCAGGAGACAAGGCATGGCTCTCCATCTGGGGTTCCCCCTCTGACACACCATGCCATGAACACTGCTTGAGAGCACGTTCCCAGTTGGTCACTGCTTTTGGGTGTCCCCACTCTCAGGTCCCATCATGAGGCATATTGACCCTCAAACCTACTGCATCTCCCATGGGCTTGGAGAGCATTGAGTGTTGCTTGGACTCTTCAACAAAGGGTTCTCAGGCACTGGAACAGGTTACCTAGGGAGGTGGTGGAGTTCCCAACCCTGGAGGGATTTACAAGATCGGTAGATGAGGTGCTCAGAGATCTGGTTTAGTGGTGGACAGGTACAGTTGGACTCAATGATCTTAAAGGTCTTTTCCATCCATATAATTCTATGAACAGCTGGCCCAGGGCATTTCAAGGTGATTCCTCAAGTCAAGAACGAGATTCAGGGCCCCTCTCCCCTCCCCACCGATGCTTGCCTCCCCCTTTTCTGCCTGCTAGCTTCCAAGAGCAGCGCATGATCGCTCTGCTTAGCTCCTCCGACTAATACCACAATCTATTTACTCACTTGAGATACCAGTGACTCAATCCAAAGCTCACTTATCAAAAACTCTCATTATTATGACTAAACTGCAGCAAAAGCAGGCAAGGTAAAGAATGAAACAATCCTCCTTTCCCATCTATTAACCATCTTCATAATTATCTCTCCCCTTCAAATGCCAGAGGAAGAAGGATGAGCTCTGCAGCGTGCCATTACAGTCCTAATTCTGGGCTGTTTTCAGGGGATTGAGGGCATTACAAAGTCAAGGTTTTCCTCAGCAACTCTCCAGAGGCTTCCTCCCCTCAGCTACACCAAGGGAAACTCGGCCAGTTCCACAAGTGGCAATGTCCCCAAAAACCTGTCTTGTGGGACGGCCTTGGTGATGAAAGCATCAGAGGATATCGCCAGCTCTGCAGCCATGTCTGTTTTGAGGAGGTCCCAACACAACACACACAGTAAATTGAATGGATTTTTTTTTAACTGATGATATAAAAACCCCTGTGCCTTGCAGGAAGCTGCATTTAGCTCATTCAATCAATGCAATGCTTTTTTTTTTTCTTCCTTTTTCTTTCTGAATCAGTAATGAGCCACTGAAGTATCGAGGGTGGATTTGGATAGTACCTCCAGTAGTACAATGGATTTGGAGAGTTTTCCTTGGGCTGAGCCAGAAAGCAGAAGACAAATAGATCTGTGTTCCATAAAGCCCTCACTGCATCACTCCTGCTCAGCTCTGCCTATTTCATAAAAGTATTTGCTATTAAGCAATTATCCTGTTTCACTCCAGAAGTATTTTCGTTTTCTGGCAGAAGAACATGAACTGTGGGCACAGGCTCCAGGTTGATTTGTTAAGCAGTCTGGGATCCCTTTGAATAAAGACTCTCCGTGACTGCTACAGCAAGCTGCGACTTTAAATTGAGTTGGGAAAAAAACTTCAGTATCCTGGGCCAGGTTTGGCTGCCCCCCTCCACAGAAATATGTCTTACAGAACTGAGAGGAAAGCAAGCTGGAGTCCTGTTCCAAGATTATGGTGTCTTCCACTCTTAAAATGACTATTTGTGTTCAGAATGTTAACATATAATTCATATTTTTATGAATTAATTTCCAGACTTGTATTAAAAAGTTACTCCCTGACTACACAACAGAGCAGTGGGATCTCCTCTGAGTGCTATTTGCCCAATTTTATGAGTTACATTGTAAAAGCGGGGAACAATATCTGAATTATTTATTAACTTCATAGTACTTGCTGCACAAGAGTTTATTCTGAATTCTGCATCAGCAAGAGCTCGGATTCCCCTAGAAAATAGCTTTTGGAGAGCTGAAATGTATTCTAGAGTTCTGTGGCAAAGTAAAACACCGCGTAACTCCACTCCAACTACATCAGGAAAAGGGATTATGGTTGTGGCACCAAGAGCAGGGTACTGCTCCTCTTTTGAGGTGAAAGCAGCATGAAATGGCTCTGTGCAGAGAGAAGATAAAGCATTGATCAACCAAAGAAAAAAGGCTAAGGCCCTGCAGCAAAAAATGTGTGTATTTGTGACTTTTCCATCGCCATCAATATCGCATCACGACCGCCACGCGGGTGACGACACCAATTTTTGAGACAGACTGAGTCAAGCTTTCTACCAGCAAATGTGAGAAAACATTCACCGTGACGTGGGATGGCAAGAAGACAGGACCTGCTAAATAAGCAAAGATCCAGCAGAAAGGGTAATGGAGAAGAAAATCAGCTGATGTTGACACAAAGTGACATCTGCTGCACCTGTTTGTAGTGTTTTATGGAGGAAAACCATTCTTTTTTTTTAATATGTACTGAAAGACACAGGTTTTAGAGCCATAAAAATATCTTGGCTAGAAAAAAATCTGAAATGATGGTTTATCTGCGAGCAATTCTGCAACATGAAGAAGCCATGTTCAATATTATGCTCAAATTTTAGAGTTATCTATGTTCTCCTTTTCCGTACTGCACTCTAACTGCACGGCAGTGTTGGTACGTTGCTGATTCCCTCTGGTATCTGTACTGATGCTTTGAATAATTATTTTTACAGAAAGATCATGGTGGCAAAGGAGAAAATCCAAACTCTAAGTTCCAAAAGATTTTTTTTTTTAATATTTTTTTTTTTAAGGCTTGAATCTGGCACAAATTCAGCTCTTACACCAGAAATTCCTCTGGTGTAAATGAGAGCAGATCTGGCCCAGTGCACAGCTGGGCGTCTGACTTCAGTAAGATAAATTCTGAGCTCAATTCCACTTTGTGGGAACCATCCCTCACTCCATGTTATCTATAGTTTGATGGTGAAATTTGACTTGGAGTTTGCCTACAAATCTTCTAACTGTTTGTTGAGCTTCATCCATTCAAACCAGTGGGAGTTAAACATAGGCATTTAAGACATATATGACATGTAAGACATATATATGTCTTAAATCCATAACACAAATTCTATCCCCATATACAGATGACTATCAAGCTACTGGGAATCCAACAAACACTGTCAATAACCCCAGGGTGACCCACCAAGAGCTGCTCAACAT